CGACTAGCTGCTCATTTTGCTTTCATCCCTGTGACATCACAGGGATGGAAGGGAAGCGGCTGGACTACAAACGAGCTGTTTTCAGGCAGTTCAGAGCAGAGTTTTCTGTGGGAGATGGGAACTCCCTTTGGGCTGGACTTTGGGCTTTTTCACTTTGCAAACCTAGTACATGCACAAAAAAAGGTATATAACTCAAAGGAGAGGGAAAAAGCCAAAAAGCATAATACCACCTCTTTAATGTTTACAGCTCCTGGGCATTTTCTTTGTTTTACATTTAAGGTGTTTTAATTGTATTTGTTTATAAAAATATGTTTCGTGTTGGTTAGAATTCATCCATATCAATTAAATGCTGAAAATGTCACTATCTTGCCTGGAACGTTATTAACGGTTGTTAAATTGTCAATGGTTCTGTGTACAGAACTACTGTGATAAACGGTTTATTTATCCTGTTAATATAAAAAATATATTCCATGTTAATATGATGGAGGTTCACATTCCCTTCTGGTGAATGAGGTATAATGACTACGAGGATTAATTGTCATTTTTGTGTATGAAGCTGTTTTTTGATGTTGTTAACCTTATGTAATTTAGTAACTTAATTGAAAATGAGTGATGTGCAGAGGAGACCTTATTGATTGACTTAAATGACTGTATTTATTAAATCAATTGTGGCAAGACTGTCAAGACCAACGGAAGCAAGTTTCCTATGTTTATCATTTCTCCTGTTTCACAGGTTTTATTTGCCCACATTCCCTGTGCCTGGGGCCTGTAACATTATTATTATCACCCCTTTTATCAGTTGAATACAAGACCTGCATACTGTACCTCTAAAATGTTCAACTGTATTATCAGTTCCCTCCACGCACTGTAAAAGTACCTCTTATCAATAAGTACTGTATATGTATCAGTGTTTAAGTTCAGGATGACTCAAGTTAGCAATTATTTCAATATCTAAGGGGGAAAATACCTGTCCAAAATTTGCCAACATGATGGCATGATTCTGGATTTTCCCCAAAACAATCAACAAGAGAGGAACTAAAATACCAGGATCCCTCAGTATTCAACATATTGCTGCAACTAATGAAACATCTGTATTTGACTTATTTTACATTTCAACATCAACATCACCTAGAAGATGAGGAAATGATTCCAGTTGCCCATCTAGAGGACAAAGGCGGTCTTCGGTTCTTCTTTTAGAGGACAAGAGGTCTACGCTAGGTTCACAGAAACTTTGTGGTCCAATGTACTGATCTGTATTCAAATACAAAAAAAAAGTATGAATGCAATGAATCAATATTTGCAAAGAACATAATTTATTTTTTAACAAATATTTATTATTCCAGGAGGCCACATTTAAAGTAGTGAGGTAAGACTGTGACTGTGATGCGTTAAAACCTCCAGAAAGCTTGAGTAGAGAAAAGCTAGAGACACTGAGTTAAGATCTATTACTACTGAGGTAGGGTTCAAAGGCAAATTCCATCAATGCAAAAGGGAAAGTCATGAATTTATATGTTGAATACAGATGATACAATCAATTTAAGTTCTCAGTGCAACGTACAGTTTTATGATAGCGTTAATGCTATATTATTCACCTTGACCACTTGTAAATAGTTGAGTATAGGTATATCACAAGTTTAACCCTATGGTTTAACCAGGGATTTGTTTACAGCTTGACCTGATTTTGTTATAAAGTTGCGTTTCAGTAGCAGCATCCACAGATTTCCACTATTAAGTTACTTTGTAAAATTTTGGAAATTTTACAAAGTAAAATTCTATTCCAGGCTTTGGCAAAAGATTCAGCACTATTGTACATTTAATCACATAAATTCCTTTCATGGTTATATACCATGCTACGCAGACACTGCGAAACAAGTTAGCATTGCCTTGTGAGCTCTCTTGTGAATAACTCCAGTGAAATCAAGTCCAGTGAAAAAACATACAGAAATATACAACTGTGCTGGCAGATTGACCCTTCCAAAGCCGCAGAAGCGAGCCAGCACTTGGTTCTTGATGAAGCAGCTCTAGGCGGGGTTGACCAGGGCCTGGTCCGGCAGGTGGTTGATATGCCGGGGTCCACGATGAGGACCAGGCGGCCCATTCGAAGACTCTTCAGTCCAGGCTCATTAAAAGCTCCACCCCCTAGTTTGTTAAAACCACAGTTTAAAACAAAAGCTCAAAACGTTTCCATCCAGATAAGAAGATTGGTTCAGACTGTGATTAGAGATAAATGGTGTCACTACATTAAGCCATCTTCTGTAGTTACTGAAACTAGCCAACAGCATCGTTTGGCATGTATCCAAAGACTGACTGAGCCCTGTATTCATATCCAGGAAGCTTTGCTTAACAGTGTATTCACACACTTACACCTTCTGCTGGTGAAGACTCAGCAGTTCCACTGGAGCTACTGTGGGTAAACTGTCTTCTGTATTTAGTTGTCAGAAGAGCATAACTGTACAAACTGCTCCACCACAACCTGAAACCATCTGTGTTGAGACAACATTTCACCTTCCTCTCTCTACTGCAATCATCCTGAACTTCGATTCTCTTTTGCTCAGCTCTCACTTCTGCACTTCTCTCTATTATTGATGACACATGAATATTGGAGTTGTTTTTTTCTTCTGTCTTCGAACTTTGACCGATACCTACTAGTTAGCTGTGATGTGGGCAATCACAGTTTAAGTCTTCTGTTCTCACCTGAGGGTATTCATTGATTGATTGACGTTTTATTTCGAACATTTGAAAAAAAAAAAGAAAGACAAAATAGTGTTAAAAAACAGATGAACAAAACAGATGAAAGTAAAACTCCATAATATTAAGTATTTAAAAAACCTCTATTTACATGTGCGAAAAGGAGTAGGAAGAAAGAAAACTTAACCCTTCCACATCAATGCCCAGCAGGTGTCCCAGGCTGTGGGGCATGAAGAAGGAGCCCAGGTGGACCTTCAGCATGTCCTCCAGCTAGGCGGTGCATGTCGGTCCACTTCACACCTTCAACACAAACAGCTTGGTTTATAAAGAACAGGAGGTTTTTTGTCTTGACCTTTAAATACATCTTAGCATGCTTACAAGTAAAAAACAACACTAACATGGATATCAAATTTGGAAATTTTATATCCCTATACCTAAAAAAAAATACCTTGTATTAATAAATTGTTGTGATAAAAATGTTTAACTGAACTGAGATTTAAACTAATTTTTAGGCTTATCTAAAGATCATTACTAGCTTTATCAAAAACAAAAAAGATAGGATGCAACAAAACTATATGCTATTCATCTCCATGCCAGTGATAAACTGATGAGGGCAGAAGAATTTGAAGTGTAGTTTACTCTTTATATGTCAGTAATGTGTAATCAATAGTTAAACTCTATCAAGGTAATAACATTGTTTGATGCAACCATGACAGTTTGGGAGGATTTGAGGACAGCCTCATGGACGGCACTCTGGTCGTGAACTTGCCGTTTGCTGGGAAGTAGCAGTACTGCAGTAATACTCTCCACCTGTGTCAAACAGACTGAGCTTTGGGTTTTTCAGTTAATTACAATGCACAAAGCACCAGAATCCAGGTCCAGCCAGTGCCATCTAGTTACAACACCAACAATTTCAGACAATTATAGTCCAATCTGTGCGACCTAAAGGCACGATGAGTTGAGTAGCAGCAGTTCAACACTGCAAATGTGCACTGTTTACAGGTAATAAAGATAGAGCTACTGCAATTTAGACCCTGTAGACATGATTGTTAAAGCTGTTTTTTTATTTTTAGCTTTTTTGTGCATGTACACAATTTATATTTTGAAATTATGAAATGTAAGAAATGTCTTACAAAAGCAACAAGCTGAATTGTATTTCTATTTGAATATTAAATATATCTTCTGGAGGTAATTGGATTTAATGATGTTCTATTTCTATTGTTTTATTTAAGCTAAAGGGGGTGGTAATGGTAAAACTAAATGTAAAACTGTAACATCGACTGCCTGCAGGTGGCACAGTTGTCATAAGTATAGCAGTTATTGATTTAGTCCATGCTAAAAACTCTGACAGCTACTTACCACTTGTCTCCATCCAAAACTGTCTCATCACTGGGAGCTCCAGCACTGGTTGTAGAAGATTACAGAACAATTATTGCTTCTGGTGTTGACAGATGACACAATACATGGACAGAAGAGAGATAAAATGTAAATAAATGAGAAATAATTTATTATACCACAAAGTGATACTCACATGACATTAAAAGCTACATGACTAACAAAGCTATGTTTAACACAATGTTGAATTAAAGAATGTATTTCATCACAATATCAAAGGGATTCCAGTCTTTTCAGTGTGTCATCAATTTTCCTTTACTTTAAAAAGTCCTCACTTTTCAAGCTCTTAATTTGAACCGGAAAATTAATTGCATCCACTGACCACTAATCCCCAGGAAGAATTCATTTCACATGGCCTTTAATACAAAAGGTCAGCACATGAGTAGTACAACAAATTCCTCATCCATAATGATGCTGCTAGCTGACAGTTACCCTGCAACAAAGAGGAATTTGATGGTGGTTTGGCCAATAAGCCAATCGGGATGCTGAAAGGCTACAGACTTCAACTTCCACTGTGCCACAGAGACTTACAGGATGTTCTGCATTATACTGTAAAGTGTTTATAATATTTAGTTAGTAATGCTCTGTCCTACATGTGAAGATGGCATTTGATGGTGTTTGGTCTAAATATATGAACTAATGGCAACTTTAACCTCAACACAATCTTTTATTTCATTAATAACAACATCCTTATTTTGCCTGGTGTGTAATTAATCAATTAAGGAAGTAATTATGGTAAGTATCTGAGTAAGACTGTAATTATGCTTGTCTAGATTCAAGCGAACGTGCACGGATGTCACGCGTACAAGTTCGCATGCCATTTTTTTAATGCTTTGTTATATCAGCTTGTTAGACGCACAGTCCGCCCAACACATAGTTGAGATTTGAAAGTTGTGCGTATCAGCTCTTCTGCAACCTACCACGTGTACATGCACCTTTGGAGAAGCCTAATTTCAGCTTCAGTCGGAAATGAAATGGGTGAACATTCATTGACAAAGCCTTACGTTCCACAGATACAGGTGTAGGAGGTGTGGCGCATGCCCCCTTTATTGTAGCAGTAGTGCTGGAACAGGCTGCAAAGGAAAAAAAGACCCAGTAAGAAAAAGGAATGTAAACGATTTCAACACAGCAAAGATCACAGAAAACTCTAATTAGCTGAAGGACTCTCGCTGCCCTCTTCCTGACTCCATGCCTTTTAAGAATTCATTCAGGACTCATTCTTTAATCATCACACGGTCAAGCATGTCAAACACTATGGATCTTGACAGCATCACAATGCTGTGTGAGAAGAGTCTTCCTATTTCTAATTACATAGCACAGGAAAATAAGCAAATTATTTAAAAAAAAACACACACAGAAAAAAGCGGCCAAATATGGCTGACATTTGCTTTTTGTGGTGAATCAGAAACTCACACTCGTTTGACTGTGACACAATTTCCAACGTGATGAAAACTAAGTTCTGAATCTAAATTGATCTAGGCTGAAAGGGCCATGTCCACCTGACAGGTTTACCAGTGTCATTACATCGGCTATAAAGTAATATAACAAATATCATGTAGATATAAACGAGATGTCTTTATATGTCAGTCAGCTGTTTTACGTGTACTATGTCTTTTCACCAAACACGGACCTATACATCTCAGGCATGAAAAACAAGACAGTCCATTGACAAAATGCTCCACGTACCTCTCCATTTCATATTCCTTCTGTCCAGGCTTCACATGCTTCATGACCTACGTAGAAAAAGTGTGATTACCGTAAAACGTCAATAAATGGCCGAGTCCCAAATAGCCGCCTACCTCCTTTACTGGCCTGGTGTGGGAACATATTTTGACAAATAAACGCAGGTCTCCATTGAACGCCTATTTCAGTTTTGTGCAAAAGGAATTAAAGGCCTATCCCATATGGACGCCTGTCCCAAATATAGGCAGGGTCAATTCACTGATTAATCAAAGTTTTACAGTATATGTGAATAGCAAACTTAAAACCTACTGGATAAAACCGTTGCAGACTCTTGTGAAATGGATGTCAATGTCAAACACATGCACAAAGCAGTAAACTCTCATGGTAGTTTCATGTAGTTTCATTGGGACACAAAGGTAAAAATCTACCTAAACTAAGCCTAACAGGAGGAAAACAATATTGACCGCTCATGGTAAGTGATTTCAGAGGACAGATAACACTGAGAGGTTAACTGCTCCTCAACCCCTGAAGAGGTTATTCATGGTGATAAAGCGATATCCGGTGCTGAAGTAAAGATATTGCTTTAATGTTACAGCTTATTGGTCAAAGGCTATCTCTGTTAACAACTGGCCTTCGAGCTACGAGGTGAAGTTAAAATCGAAAGCATTTAAACAGTTTACAGCCTTTGAGGATCCTGACATCTTGAATCCTTTGGATGAGTTTTAAAGTCAATATGCAGCTTGGTACTTCGATACATTGGGTGTTTAATGCTTGTTTGTGCTTAATATTTGAGAAACCTTGCAGATGATGTGTCTAGAAGAGAAAGATCTTACCATTTTATGGGCTTCACTGGAAATCCGGTTGGTGTAGCGCAGGACCTCCAGCTCCATATCAGTCTTAATCAGACGGCTGCAGACACAGACAGACCAGCGCTCTCATTCTGATCATTGCCATATCAGCACAGTATGATTAATATGCAGCCAAACAGGATTCAGAACTCATATAGCTATCACACTGAGCTGAAGGAATACAGTATCTGGACTGTGATGACTCAAATAGAGACATTTTTGAAATATACACTGCTAATGCAGTAACAGAGACCAAATGTCTGGCAGATGATCCTCCATCATTTTCAGGAACACTGTATATAAATGACACCTGCAATTTCTTGAAATTCCAGTGGGAAACCTTCTCAAAATATTCTGCAGAAAGTGTTTCAGACCATAATAAAATGTAATACATTCTTTGATTTAAACCTAGGCTTTAAGACTATGTTAGAACTGAAGCTGTTTGCCTGCTGATCTTACAATTTCTCATTCATTTGTGTTAAGAAAGTGGTAGCTGCACCTTAGATGGCTAGATACTGGAGAGTAGTAAGGACTTCTACAATAATATCATAAGACAGTGGTACCCATTAGTAACAGTAATAAAAGTACAAAGAAACGGCCCATTAAAAGGGAGCCATGCAAGCTCCACAACGAAAAAAGGGGCAGGGGGGTTCAACGAAGTCTTTCTCCCCAGGAGGTGTGCCTGAAAAGCATTCCTCCTTATATCAGAAAATGTCAATTCATCTCAGGGGTGCAAACTCTAATGCCAAGGACAACCATGCGAGCACGAAGTCCATTAAATCCGTGCAGACTGGCTTGTAATTCTAAGAGGGGAAAAAACAAGCCAAAGAAAAGATAGGAGGATTGCACAATTACATGACTGGGCAGCTGTAAGTGCCAAGGTTTGTGAGTTAAAGGTAGCAAAATCTGACTGATGAAACTGAGAGACTACAATACATTCTTTATTCTCATCTTAAGTGGGCTCTCTGAATAATATTATAAATCACATTTTAATGACTTACCATTCCACAATGACTGGGTGTAAAAGAGTGTTGTTCACTTGGAAGCTGATAAAACAAGAACAACAAGAAACAGAAGCATAATAAATATAAATGAAGCTTTGGTGAAAGTTCAGTGTTCTGCCTTTGTTCCTCTATGGGTGAACGTCTATTTCCTGCTGTTCTATTGTGTTTCTGAAGTCCACATACTGACCAATGATCCTTCTGCCCGTGGTCCTTGAAGTGTCATTACAATTCTGTCATTCTGTCTTTCAGGCGTACTACTGCACAACACACCTGCTCGCCGTCACCACCATGACCTCCAGAATGTCCAGCGAGGTTCAACTGAAAGTTACCTCTAACCACCTGCTAGCTTTACTCCACCACCACCACTGTCTAGACTCCAGGAGGATCCTATCCTACTTCCAATGTGCATATGTGCCTACGCTTAAAAGATGCTTCATCGATGGAGTCAAATGGCCAAAAATGTTTTCTCTCTTCAATAAATACTGTTATACACTTCCAACTGAACTCTCCTTACTGAAATGCAATGTGATGCAAATTGATACATTAGCTTTGAAATAAGTATATGAGACTTAGTGTTCCAGTTAGGGTCAGAGTGTAGAATAGATAAAATGGTGTAATGTATGCAGTTAAAAAAACAAAAGAACAAAGACGCGCTAAGACAGTAAGATTGCCATTAATTGACAAGCAAAAGCAAGATTGTTGCTTAATTAAATCATATTCAGAATTAAGTTAATCAGCAACAATTGGTATGCATGAGTCTGTTGTATCCTTGGTTATAACAGAGAAAACAAAAACCTCCCAAAACAAAGTATAATTATGTTAATGCAAAGTGATGCCAATTAAACATACCGACTAATTCCTTCAAAGGAGGCTTCGCGGCAGATGCTCCCGCTATCTGTATTCTGTCCTCGCTGCATGGAGGAAAAACACAAACACAAAAAAGTGCTTTCCAATGTCACTACAGTACAATCAGTTGGTTTATATCCATTTTATTAATGACACCTATTTTCTAATGACAGATGGACTGTAGAGGATGTAGAACTAGTAAAAGGAGTTTGCACTTATTCTCACACTGCACTTTTTAGCAGCAGGTCAACATATTAATCAGGTTTTTAAAAGTTCTAACTACACTCTGCTAAACAGAGAAGCCATAGCATACCAGTGTTAGGAGCACTGCTGGTCCCAGGTTGGACAGGACATCAACTATCTGCAAGGAAGCAGACAGAGAGCAATGAGAAGACTGAGACACACAGTAGAGGAGACGATTCAACAAGCACCAGTTTACTTCTGGTCCCGGCTGCAGAATAAAGGTCACTTTGTCAGACGCCGTTGTGGCTATGTGGCGTCTCTGCTACTCATCAGCACATGAATGACAAACCTCAAGTGCCTTAATTGCTCCTCTGCCAGCAGCTTAAATGTCAGAAACAGATCCCAGACTCAGTGTTCACAAACACTGTGGTGATATTTGAGCAG